GCCTATAGGCATTTTTTAAACTTTTCCTATATATATATATATATATATATATATGTCCCCTTCCTCGTAATAGTACATTTATGTTATAATGAAATGGCCCTCTGACTTCCTACATCAGCTCGGGGGAATCCCTTCGCCACACTAGAGGACTTACTCAATGTAGGGCACAAAGGGACAAATTGAGAGCAATAAGTCTATCTCCCACTAATGGACTCGAGCTATGGGAGCCAGAAACTATAGCTGGCAGCCCAAACAACGAGCAAGCCAAACATACATCACCCCTAAAGCTTGACAGGAGGTTCTTTTCAGTCGAGCCTCAAAATTGATAAGAGTAACCATTTTAGGCTCATGCTTGGTGAATGATGGTTAAAGATGTTAAGAAGTCATGGTGCAAGGCCAGAGGACAAATGCAGCGTACCCAGGGATTAACATTAAAAAGGTGGGTTCGTCTCTTATGGGAGATTAACAGTTTAAGGTGATCAACAATGGAACACCTTACTGGAGGAACCTGTTTCCTTCTTGATGTAATACGTACTGTCAACATTTCGAAAAAAAAAAATTTATGTAAGACGTAACTCTACGACAGGCCATCAAGTAAAATATATAGTGGGTATCCATAGAGCGAACTAAGTGAATCAGGGGAATTTGATGGAAAAAGGTTGAGTCTATGAATCGGAGCAGACATTAACATTAGTCTTTAGAAGATCCCCATATGGCCATTTTTTGAGAAGAATGGGTAGGCTCCCCAAAAAATAGGAGAGCTCAAGATAGGACAAAATGACAAAGTAAAAACCTTAGGCTCTTTGGACAATTGCTCTGGAGGAAGTGAAAACAGCACAGGGGTCTTATAGACCTGGTCAAAATAGTTACAGAACCTAGCCAAAAAAAAGTTACAGAACCAGTCAAAGGAGAAAATATCTAAATGGAAGTGGACAAGTAGGTGGAAACAGGGCCTATGGTCTTATAGACCTAGACAATATCACATATGAATCAGCAAAACAAGAACATGGTACAAATCTTTTAAAAAGAAGTAGACTAAGGATGCAATATATTAGTTGTAGCTGAGAAACTAATAGTCAGTTTGGATGTACCCAAAGATGCTAGTTTTTTCGATGATAAGTGAATAAAATCTCCCAGAGGTCTAAACACGTTGTATGTCAAGTTTTTTCGGAGGCAAAAATAAAATATCAAATCTATGGTGAAATCGACATCCTAAAATATCCCAATAGGACTCGACCCACCCCCCTAAAAATGGAGTTACTCTACCCCGTACTCCAACAGAAGAAACCCCTTCCCAGCTCACCACTTTAACTCGTTATTTCCACCATTACCAAAGGGTGCAATCTTTGTTGTTAGACAAAAAGAATTGACCTCCCTCTCTAAAACCATCTCAAAAGCTATATCCATCTCTCTTTTCAGCCTCTCTCTCAGCCAACAGCCGGAATCCTCAATTTCAAGGGTTCTTTCTCTAATCCTCAATTTCTAGGGTTCTTTCTCTCTACCTTTCATTTATTTGAAGGCATTTCCGGTTTGGTTCTTTTGCAACCCTACCATTCATGTGTTTCTGTCTCTTTCAGAAAGAGAAAAACCATAAAACCAAGAATTGCTTAATGGAGGTTTCATGGGTAATTATCTGAACTTTCCAATGGGTTTATTTGGGTCTTGGGATTTTCGGGTTGGAAGTTTTGCAGGATTTTTTGAGATGTTTAGTTGTGCGCATTGAGAGAGAGTCGCATAGAAGCAAGGGTTTTCAATGGGTTGGGAGGAATGTAAAAAAAAGGGCTTTTAGAATGTCCAAAAAACTTTGTAAGGGTAGAAAACAATTCAAAGTTTTTAAAATGCATACTTGAAAGACTCGTAAGTATTTCATAGTAAGTTTTCATAATTTGACCTCCAAACTAGCTATAAATGATATAAAAATGTTAAGTTTGCAAATGGAGTTAATATACAGACTATATCAAAATATGGCAGATACTTGTGGATAGATAAATATTATTATATATTCATTTCATAGAGATTATTGTCATATATTTATTTTTAAATTTCATATTTAGACAAAAAAAATATGCTCAATCAGGAGTGTCATCAAACGATGTGCATAATCCTTCCTTCATACACGAACTTTTTCATATTTTAGAACCTTGACTGCCATTTCTTCGTTTCTTTGACTATTTTTCAATACAAATCCTCTTTATTCTATTTTAAATATTTCCCAGGTTAAAATAATTTAAAACAAAAAACTGTTTTACACCTGAACAATCTCAATAGTTGTGTCCAATTATGGGATTATTCCTACATATATATCCTGTTATAGCTACATCCAAGATATATGTATGGCACAAACATAGAATAGCAGCATATTTTGCTAAATTAAAAAGAATAGGTGAAGCAGAAACCCATCCATACATGACCTAATGATTTCGTTATGATATAAACAAAAGATTGTGTTAATTAATCTCTAAAACTAGTATAAAAATAAGGAAATGAAGCAAACATCAGATAAAACATAAAACATCGTATATCAAAATAGAAACAGTGAAACATTAGTTTAACAATAATCTAACAAAATAAAATGAAAAAAGAAACCAGATGCCATAAAAAATAGGAACTACGTATAAATTTAATTAAAAATAGAACAAAATCTTTCACTTGAAAAAAAAATACAAGGAAATTTTGTCCGGTCTAATTATTTTCATGTATGAATTGCTTTTTGGGTAAAGGGATTCTCAGTCCCCCAAAAGTATAGGCATTAATCAAAAAAGAGCTTGCCACAAGATATTTATCACCAATGGACCTTTTATTAGAAAACATTAAGTGCTCCAATTCGTTTTCTCTTTCATTGTCTTGTTTTTGAAAGATAATTAGTAAAACATTTCACTAACCGATGTTCCCATTCACACTCGGATTTCCCCAGCAATGAAGCAAATATTGTTGTCTACAATGGAGTAAACCCTAGGCCAAGCCAAAAAGACACAAAATTAAGATTAAGGAAACAGCATGACAGAGCACTAAGATAGGAAAACAATGAAATCATAAAACCAGCTTCATGGCACTAGAATGATGCACTTCCACATACCAAGATGGGTCTAGCCTGAAATTCTAAAGATACATGAGCATCCCCAACCAAAATTAATGTCCATTGGAGTCCTAAAAGATGTTTATATGCTGGATGTGCTAAAGGAGCCAGTGCAAAAATCTTAAGCACTATTAATAAAGCTCTGTAATTCAAGGAATATGCTAATTTAGATGCAAAATTCATCACAAATTAAAGAGGTACCAACCTACCGAACAAAATCAAGCAATATGTCAGATATGAATAAAAAATGGAAAGATCATATCTGATGCAAGAGTACTGGCAATAGATAGCATCCAATTGTTCTATTCCATTATGACAGAAGTAATTCAGCACATAAAATAGAGAACGGTTAATAACAACTCATTTTTTATTCAAACCTCATTCAGCTTCTTTCGACGTCCTTTAGACTCAATTGGGAACCGTCTCAACATAAAGAACAACCTAAAAAGCATAAATGGTCTTGTAAGGAATAGTTCATTTCATGAAATAATATGGAAAAACTTGCATAATTGCTCCCTCAAGAATAGTATGGAAAAACTCGCATAATTGCTCCCTCAAGAATAGAAAATTACCTCCCACCATACAACAAGAAACCCAGTGCCGCAAAGAAAGAAACAACTGCAAGCAGTATTGAGTGAGAATGCAAGTCAGCATCAATCTATCCAAGGGAAACATGACTATTCTCTGCCAATAAAGTATAAAAATGATGACTTAGATTTGTAAGGCTGTATTCTTCATGGGAATAACTCAAAATCCCCCGGGACCAGGGGGGGGTTTGGTTTGTTGGTTCTGAAGGGAGCAGGATACAAGAAAATCTAAAGGAATAGAACTACAACCACCTGCGAAGAACAGTTTAGCTATTTCCAGAGCAACAGCATTTGGACTTACACGTACATAAATCCAGATGCACACCTGCCAAAATAGTTATATAGTCAATCAGTCGACAAAGATACACATAACAGCATACAAAAAATTAGAATAATGACTATCTCAGTAGTTCGTGAATACACAACTATCACAGGAAATTGGGAAGCTCTCTACATGCCTGTAGAAGGTATATAGCACCATTGATCATCAAATATGCAGGTCTGAGCCTATCAATACGTAGGCTTCTTGCCTGAAAAAAACATCCCAATAATACGATAAGTCGACATCAGCCCTTGGTTTATTACATGATATAACGAGATGAAGACAACAACATGAAAATAAAAGGACCATGCCTGGTGATATATCTCTGCCCAAAATAAGACGAGCAAAGTGTATGTTGAAAAGAAAAGAAGTCCAGGAAGTTCTAGAAGTACCATTTGCAAAACCTGCATCAATAAATAAATTTTAGGAAAACCATCCTCCCAGCCGACACGAACAGAAGCAAATTACATAGAACAGTGGAAGTAGCATCATGCAGTTGATGCAATAATACTACAGAAACTTAGAATTCCAGGTGAATGGTTCATAAGCCCACTAACAATATGACTTCATAAGTGAAAGTGTGAAAGAGAAGCGAACCTTTAACTAGTGGAGGACAGTGGCCATTCATGCAATTAAGAGACCATCATACACAAATAAACTCCACATGTAAGTTACAAATGCAAAATGACCGAGCTGTAAAAGCAAAATGCCATATAGGTCTCTTTAAGTGTATTAATCTTGCAGACGTGTATCATACAATTATTGTCTATTTCTAGGAAACGACCATCATTAATTCTGTTATTTAGACTTATTCTGTATCGGATCAAGCAAAGTGCAATATAGTTCTCTGACTGGTATTTCCAGAAGAATCACCATTGAGTTTTATCTTAAATAGAGTGTTGTCTATTGATCATCCATGTATCTCAAGACAGACTCGGGCAAATATGAAAGTGAAGAATCTTGAATGACTCAACGCAAACTTCAATAGAACCGTTTTCAAGTCACAATGGAACATTCTATTCCCTAAACGAAGAACATATAGCATAATCTTGTAAAGAACTGGTAAAATATCAGAAAGGAGTTTGAAAACCCTTATAATGTCACTAAAGGGGTCAAAAGATTACAAATTACATTTGAAGACATATGCTTTTAAATTTCTATATCCATCAGGTACCTCCTCAAAAAAGTATTAAAAAATTCCCAAAATTGCCCCTATTTGGTGTTGGGAAGCAAGAACAATTAATGGTACTTCAGTAATTTTACCCCCAAAGAAGCCTTAACCTAATGAGTGTACCCCTTTGGGTGTAAAACTGCCCAAGTACCCCTAATTGTTAGGGCTTCCACCACCGAACAGGGGGAATTTGGAAAATTTTCGAAGTTTTCTTTTTTTTGTTTTTTCTTGGGGAGGAAGTACCTGATTGATATAGAAACTTAAAAGCATACCCTACATGAAGTTTGTAATCTTTTGACCCTTTTAGTAATATTGTAAGAAGTTTCAACCTCTTGTTTGATATTTTCCCTAAAGAATATTAGAAAAAGAGATATGATGAGTGGCAAAAATATTGACTAGTCATATTGCAGCATAAACAAATGAGTTGAGAAAACAAGTCCAAAGCTCTAAACAGTCAAAAAGTTAATTCATTTTCTGAGTGGCACAGACAAGAAGTTCATCAGTTTGAAGAGAAATGTGTTAGATAATGAATTATGTCTTAAGATCCATTTCATCAGCGAGGTTTCCCCAAGCTTCCGTTTTTCAGTTCCTCAATTTCTCAAGGAAACATACATGGCTCTTTTCTATGAGAAATAGATTGCTAGTTACAACTCTACGTTGTTTCCGATTTCTGGAGCACGTGTAACAGCTCCATTGGTGTTTAGTAAGTTCTTATACAGCAGAAACAATTAAAGAAAGTTTTTTACATCATAAAAAACAAGACCCTTACAAAGGTAATAGCTAAATCCTAAAAAAAGAAAGGCAATCATAGCACAGTATTTACTGCCATCCAAGGGGGATTTTCTGTACCCCAGATCCCAGCATAGCACTTGGAGAGATTTCAGTGTTACTCTTAGACAAAGTGGTAATTTGATCAACTGTTAAATTTACTTAGCCAATAAGCTGTCATTCTAACAAAGTTGCATATGCTCCACATAATATAACTTCAATTCACACCCAAACCAAATAAATAGAGATCACCTCAGTCAAATAAAAGATTCCCACCCATATAGAGATATATCTTCCATTCAATAGAACCAACACATTTAAGACTCTCGAAAGGATTAAAATATCCTGCAGACAGTAATTTTCCAACTTTCATTTGAAAGAAAGAGAAGCTAAGACCCAATTTCTCTATCTCAATTTGCAATGTGATAGTCTGGAACTAGAATATGCATTGCTTTTTAAAATTTCAAAAAAATTTAAAAGGTCAATTTAACAATTTTAAAAATAAAAAAAAAAATCATAAAGAATGCAAGCCTCTCAGAGGCAGAAAGCTCATGACAGTAAGACCCTCTCTCTAGCAGCTTTTCTTAGTCTTTCTTCCAAGCTTTACCTTCAATTCTTACTCTTTCTTCCAAAATTATACCCTCAACAGTCCCATTAATTCTATGTAGCTCAAGGCCAAAGAACCTCTACGGAGACCAAAATGGCCATCAGCCCAAATATTCCACTTCCCTCTAAGACCTATCAAGCAAGCACATAGCTCTATGGTCGCAGGATCCTATCTTATCTACAGTAACCAAACCACCATCAATACAGATGCACATTTGTTTACAGGTACGTGGATACAAACATATATAACTTGAAATACGCATATCTATAAAACTACATGAATTTGCAAAGGGTGCTGCAAGGACATTACAATTTCAAGATCTTGCCAGTCTCCCCACAACAAAAAAATGCATATAATCATCAGCACTGTCTAGATCTGATAAAATTCCCCTGTTCCTTTGGTACATAACTATTTCAAAGACATTCCATCATAGGTCAAGCCAGCACAAAGGAACACCGAGAACATGTTGCATGCATCTTCTCATGAAGACAAATATATAAGTGTAAACCTGCAGGTCATCTCATAATATTATAAATACACAGCAATTAAATTTGAAAAGTTAAGGCCATGTGCAACATTCGACAATTATAACATGCAACATTCGACAATTATAACATGCAACATTCAACAATTATAAACGATCTGACATATTTATGCTTGGTTGACTCATGAAAGAAGAACTTACTTTAGGCTTTAGAAGGAAAACACTTCTATAAAATCCAAACAGAATTGCGCGGACTGCCACAGTACAGAAATAATTAGCAAATTAGGTAAAAAAAAAAAATCCAGCAAATTGTAAATAGAACATCAATCCAGCTTTCGCTCTTACGTCCATTCACAATGAAATTCATCAAGTGGAAAACCTTTTGTGTTGTCCATCCATACTCTGGTACACGCAACTGAATGCGGAAAAGTTGTATCTGCAAAATGGTTAACAAAATTTAGGTCATCCTACAACATCAGCTTGCAGTCATCCTACATATCATCTTGCATAAATTAATTCAACCAACAACAAATTCATGAGAATGGATGTGAAACACGAGATACATAGTGAACATCCCAAATCTTAACTCTTCGGTGGAAATGATTAGTTTTAAGAAAGAACCAAAAGTAAGAATAGTTTTAATATTTTGTTGTTATTTCCCTTTCCTCATGAATTTAGTGTTGACAGAATTGAGATTCATGATAGTCAGCCTGAAGGAATTATGGCCAGAAGGTTAGGCATAATTCAAAGATTCATCCAATTAACTAGGCTCTCTTCCTAAACTCAATACCAAAATTCTGGATCTCACACCAACAAGATCCACGTTTTTCCTACCACATTTCATCTTAATAGAATAACTAAATATAATAAGATTTACACAATAATTTTGCTAAAGTATATCGTTAATGAATAAGTTCAGAAATTTTTTTATAGGAAAGAAGTCCAAGAACAGTCAAATTTATTGATGGAGGCATATAGCTTCTGTACAGCCATAACTTTTAAAATGACCATTTCCTTCATTATAGTGTATTAGATCATACTCATCCCATATCATTTTTATTTTTTTCCTATATCATTTTTATTTTTATTCTATCCAAGAGAGTTTAATCCACCATTAAAAAAAATAAGACTATTTGTCATACTAACTTGTTACAACTTAAAACGGGATAGGACTTAGCATTTTCACCAAAATTCAGCTGCCCACACCTACTTATCTAATTCTTGCAATATTGCTACAACTTTCATATTTCTCAGCATATAATTTTAAAAGTTTGTGAGCAGCATCACATTACATTAAATCCAAGACTGCATTCAAGCAAGCTCAGCATTGATATCCTAGCAGCTGCCATCATCATCATCTGAGCCTTATCGCAACTATTTGGGGTCAAGTATACGAATCATGTTCCACCATTCCTCTCTATCAAGGGTCATACCCTGAATCAGACCATAGGTCATCATATCTCTTCTCATTACTTTCATCCATGTCCTTTTGGGCCTTCCCCTTACCCTTTTAGAGCGTTCCACTTGAACCAAATCGCCCTTCCTATTTGGTGTTGTTCTAGGTCAACGTGACACATGGCTAGAGCACCAAAGTCTATTTTTCCTCATCTTATCGCCTTTTGGAACCAACCCTAAGTTCCTTCTAATGTATTCATTTTGAATTTTATCTTTTCTTGTTTTGCAACTCATCCATCTCAACATCTTTATCTTAACTACATTCATTATATAAAAATATTGTTTCTTGACTGCCCAACATTGCGTCCCATAAAGTATGGCTCATCTTACAACCTTTGGAAGGACATATCCACTTTGTACAGCAAACTCTAATCCTATACATGCTATCTTCCTCAATCTCTCCATTCTCATAGATTATTGACCCAAGATATCGAAAATAATCTCTTTTAGATACTTCTTGGCCATCAATCTTAATTTATTATTCGTTTTTATACCTGTTATTACTAAATTTGCATTAATATATTATGTATGTCTGGCCAATTTTAAAACCTTTAAATTCTAAAGATTCCGTCGAAAATTTTTACTTTGCATTGACACCATTTCTAGTCTCATTAATCAAACGTATGTCATTCGCAAACAATATACACCACGGTACCCTCATCTTATAGATGCCCAGTTAACTCGATCATAACCAAAACAAAGAAATAAGGGATCACAGCCGACCTCTGATATAAGCCTACTATCATTGAAAACTCACTTGTCTTTCTACTAGTTGTCCTCATACTAGTTAGCACTCCCTCATCAAATATCTCTCTTTCATGTTATAATTGTTGCTTAGTCACACTCCCACTATTACATAGTGTAGCTCATAAGTTTGATCCCTCTATAATTCATACAATTATGTATGTCTCCTTTGTTTTAGTCATAGGTAACACGGTAATTTTTCTCCATTCGTCTGGCATTTTCTTTGTTCACAAAAGCTTCTTGAACAACTTGGTCAACCAGAATCAAGTTAATCTCTACCAAGCACTTTCCAAAACCTCTATTGGGATACCATCTGATCCTAAAGACTTTCCTATCTTTATTTTTCTCAATGCTTCTCCAGATTCAGATATCCTAATCCTACAAATGTATCTATGATCTTTGACCTCATTTATGTCAAAGGTTCCTCCTAATGTTGTGCTCCCATAGTGGTCGTCATTTAGCAATTTTTGAAAATAAATTCTCCACCTTTCGTTGACCTCATCATCCTTCACTAACACCCTCTGATCCTCAATCCTAATGCATTGAAGATGATCTAGATACCTACATTTCCCCTCTCTCATTTTTGCTAGTTTGAATACATATTTTTCACCTTCTCTTGTCCCTAATTTATTGGATAGTTCAATATATGCCTTAAGCTTGGTTTTACTTACTATTTTCTTGGTGTTCTTCTTGTCATTTTTATATTCTTGCAAGTTTTGGTCATTTCTATTCTTTTGCCAAGGTTTGTAACATGATCGTTTTTTGCTGGTAGCCTTTTGAACCTCATCACTCCACCACCAAGTTTCCCTATTTAAGGGTCTTTTCCCTTTAGATTCTCCTAAAGCCCCACCTTCTTAATACATTTAGCCATCTCATTCTACATAACATTAACTCCATCCTCAAAATTATATTCTCGTTCTGTTATCAATTTATTCCTAAGTAAGTCTATTTTCTCCCTTTTTTAATTCCACCACCTAGTTCTTGGACACCTATTAATTTCACTCCTCTTCCATCTCTTTATGCAAACATCCATAACCATGAGCTTATGTTGTGTAGCCAAACTCTCTCCTAGGATGACCTTACATGATGGTCTATTTGCCTTCTTAACTAGAAAAAAGTCTATTTGGCTTTTATACGTTCTGCTTTTGTGAGTTATTAAATGTGAAGGCCACATTTTAAAGTAGGTGTTGGGTATTGTGAGGTCATAAGCCATAGAGAAATGAAGAATAGTGTCACATATCTCATATCTTCTCCAAATCCATATCCTCCATTTACCCTTTTACATCGTCTATTATTTTTTTTACATGACCATTTAAACCCCCCCAAAAAAAGTCATCTCTCGACCTTGGACTAGTCCATCCATGTCCTCCCATAATTGTCTTTTAGTTCTATCATCTAGTATTAGGCAGCTGTCAATTTCCAAAATCTCTTCTAGAAAATCCACATTACTCCAAGGTTCAGGGAAGCCCCAAAACATCTTATCAAGGCGTGGATAACCTTCAATTATTTAGGGCATCAGAAAATATTGCTAAATTGAAGGAAGGGCCTTTGCCCATGCTTCCAGAGAGTCCATCCTTCCAACCAATCCCATCCCAAATGCACCTTTTTATATTTCGTCTTACCTAACTCATCATCATCAAAGCCTTTTCCCATTTGGGGTCGGCATACCTAACTATCCCTGATAAAACTCTGGTCACCCAATAACCAAAAGGATATCACATCAATATAAGTTTTAAGAATTAATACCTCGTTTGGAGTCTATTTCGGTGCTACCAAAGACCCGCAACAAGATTCTGACCTATCCTTTATAACCCTCTATTCACAAACTTATGCTGCATCCACATCCCATTGAACTCCTCACTAGTTAGCTCCCATGAGATAAAACCCAATATACCTGTACACCACTGCTCTAACCACCATCACAGATTAAAGGAGGCTCTTAATTTCTATCCTCCAAAAAGCCCGAAAACATGAACTAGTGTATAAGTTCAAATTTCAAAAGAAACAAGTCGAGTTCCAAAAGTGCTCACCATCCACAAGCTAATCAGCACCATAGGACACCTAAAAGCATCCATTTGATGGACACAGGGAAAAAGGGTCTAACCCCAAATACCACTTTATAATTCAAAATGGATAAGTAGATGCTCAATTGTCTCCATCATTTTACACACAATACAAATTCAAAACTGAAACCAGACGGTTTCCTATGAGGAACTCACTTCTAACCACATGATCCTTCCAACTATCGGCTCTCTACATATATATCCATTCATGGTCCCCAGAAGCAAACTCCCCTTTTAGGAATGGAGAGCAACTCTAAAATCTCCAACAGATAATAAACCAACTCTTCAAGCTCATCATCCCTGATCCCCACCTAGAGCGGTGAAGTCACATTACATTTTCAGTTCTCCCTTCCTATTGAAGCACACTGCTCAAAGGCCTCCTGATCCCCAGATAGCTAAAATAGAGATAAGAAGTACCATCACAAGCAAGCATCTTGGAGCATATATTTCAATTCTTCAGGAGCTCATCCTTTTCCCTACCCAACCTACCAATTACCCTACAATGTCTTATGCCTCCAATACCTACGGTAAAATGAAAACCAAGTGAAGTACTATCCCACCTAGCCCCACAATCTCCCACACTGACACCCCAAATTCTCCTTGTGATGCCACAACCAGTTTAGTGAAGTGCATGTTCCAATTTCTCAAAAGCTTTCTAACAGTATTTTGGTAACATGATATTTTATATACTGAGTGCTCAAAAAGTAGGAGCACAGAAAATTAAAAATACCATGTCAATATCAGAAGAAACTCTACAAGCCCTAGACTATTTCTAGGGATATCAAAATTTTATCTGTCATCTGCTGTTGCTTTCACTCATGTAGTACATGTAACATGAGACAAGTCCACTATACAATAAGCGCATGACATCTATTCCATTTATAAAAAACAACAAACGAAGGTTTTCAGTTGCCCTTAAGGGACTTGAGGAGATTGAGTGAGGAATCAAATAGTGTTTTGTAAATCACCTCAAATCTTTTCAATTAAAATACAAACTACTTGGATAACAACAAGAGTATTGCCCCAATTCGCATATCCCAAACCCATTGGATCCAATCCCCATGCCTCCTTGCCACTGATCAAATAGAGGAAGGACTCCTCCCTGCTCGTTGTCTTTCAAGTTTTTCAAAATAAGACATAGGTATCTACAAGTGTTAAATGAAGTAAACCAAGATATTAGAACTGGGCTTGACACAGATAATTCCAAACCTGTACCAAAAGGGCCCATAGAGCCAAGAGTCTCCATGGTACAGGCCTCCCAACTGCCTCGAAGTGTATTATATCAATCCCAAGCATGTACCTGAAACCAAGCCCATATTTCACTCAAACTGTGTCGGATTGCATCTACACACTCACCTCTCTTCCCCGACTCCGGGCACTGAACACCTCAAATTAATTTTATGCCCCAATGTCAGAACAGAATCTGAAAATAAACATTAGCTTTGCGAACTAAAGATTGCTAGACAAATCCCTCATTTCAAAAATACAACTAAATGGCTCAGATATTGTTATGAATAAAGAGGGGGAGAAGGAAACCTCCCTTCATAATCATCTCCCCAATTACACTGACAATTATTAGGATACATCAATTTGCCTAAGTATTTCAGACATCAATATTAGAGTACAGTTCATTATGTAATGCAGGCCATTTTAGTAGCCATCTTTCATTCCCCTGTATCCCAATGTCATAACCAGTTGTTGCAATGGTATTTTATGATGTTATTATTATTCACTTTCCATGTAAATGAGAAATGCCTACAGAAGCTACAACTCCCGCTTATCCTTTCTCCTTGCCTTGAGCTTCAAAGATCAAACCCTACTCACTATGCAAAGATTCAAGAAGGATTCATGCACAACATCTCTAATTGATCAAGGAAAACAAAAAGGGAAGGGGGGAGGCACGTAAGATAGAACAGTACTCGATCTTTTCTCAACAAAGTCCCCAGATGGTATCTGTCCCACCTTTCCTCATGGATGTGCTGGGTTTCCCTATGGCTCCAAGATTTCAAAGCATTATATATCCTAGCCAAGGAATCTCCTTGAACCCCCATGATTATCGCCCTCCCACTTATTGTTGATGTTTTTTATTTTTTTAGGTTAGTTCAAGGGGGATGGTGTCCTCAACCCGTGGTAGGAATGGAACTCGAGACGTTGTGTTGTAGCGACCCACCACCTTGACCACCTAGCCTTAAGCCCATTCCTGCCTATTGCTCATGCTTGTGCAGGGTTTTCCAACAAGTCCAAGGTTTCAAGTGATCACTTAGCCTTGCTCAGACTTTTTCCTAGAGGCCCTTTCTAATAGATGTTCTCTGGTGGAGATCACACCAAATATAGTTTTCTGGACTTTCATAAGCCAAGAGTCAGAGTTTTACATGCCACCTCTTCCTGGATCAAAAAACTTTATTGTTTTAGTCAAAAAGGTATGTTATCCATGAGAAGCTTTTCCCCACTTATCTCGAATTTCAACAAGGAGCTTGGCTGCTATGGAGCTCTTCCCAAATCCTAGAAATGAAAAATGAGAGGGCTCTTCCAGAATTTAAGGGGATGTAATGAAATTCAGTTCCCCTTCAAACGAAGACCATCACACTGAATCCTAGATTACAGCAATTAGAAACAAAGTTCACTGAAGTTGGTGCATTCTCTCATTCAAGCATCAGTGGGTCCTTGGACATTCACCATACAAAACAATGGTCCTTAGTGCACCCATTATAATGAGATAGGGCAAACTAAGGCCTCACCTGGATGCCATCCCAAACCATGGCTCGAGCGCTGTTGGGGAAGCATTTTGAGTGATGCCCAATTTGTCGGTCGGTGGTTTCTATCTTAACTACAAATGTAAGAGGGACAAAGATAAGTAATAGCTGTTTTATCTTAACCACAAAAGTAGCACACATTTCCATTAAACTCAAACCACATAATTTCTAAACCACAGGTTGCAGCCAAACAATGGGTGAAATGTACCAGTTGGCTTTTTCATGGATATAGCCAACAGTAATTTCAAGTGCACAATCTAGACTAATATAGCATTTCTCACAGATTGCACGGTCCAGATTTTAACCCGCAAATTTCATGACTCAGAAATGAAGAAATGCAAGGATATGTGTCCTTCAAAGGACAAACCAATCAACAGATCCCACCAAATCAACCTTCTATGGCTGTATTTTTTCTTGCCAATCCATCTCATGTATTATTGATATTACAGCCAGTAAAATCTCTGTAACTTTAATTCCTTTAGGAGTTTTAATTAGCTTAGTAAAGTCAAATTTGCACATGGCTTCCCAAAGACTGAGAAGGCAAGAAGAGGAAGCAGCCAGCCGAACACCAAACAATCACTTACCACCACCCAAGCAAAAGCATCAAATCATAAAGACCCATTATACAAATGACAGGAGAAAATACCCATCAACTAAAGTCTTTGATATTGTGGTAACAAATCTCAACCAAGTCAGAATCCATAAACAAAGTCATACCTACCAAGACTTTGACCCCAAAGCTACACGAAACCAAAAAAAACAAAAAGAAAAAGAGGACATTTTTTGAAGGTCAACATAAATAGTAACCTGCTTCATGTTTTTATGATTGGCCACTTAAACCAACTTTTCAATACAACTAATATATAAAGTCCCATTAACTGAACTAATGAGTAATGACCACCTCAAACAATCACAAGAGAGGCCAAACATAGAAATATCACAGAGAGAAAATTCCAACTCATCAATTCACCATGCCCCAACAATCTAGAAAACAATCGAATCCCTAAACTAAAACAAAGGAACCAAGCAAATCAAGCTTAAAATCAAAAAATGAAGAAAAATTTTTCTGAATAAAATCAGGACCATGACAAAAAGAATCATATTCACTGAAACGATCACACATCAAAAAACAAACGCATCAAAACCTGAGACATTATCGAGACAGAAACCCTAACTTTCCCAAAAAGGAAATAAAAGATAAAGAGTACAGACTAACTTACCAAAGCAACAGCAGCAACAGCCGAATAAGCAGCACAGAGAGCATAGAAGATCCCATCCTGCCATTTCTGAGAGTTCTGGACCTCGTCCCACCAATCCGAGGCCGCACTGTAAACTCTTTCGTCTTTCGGCAAAAGAACTGCCATTGTTGATCTAGGGGCCAGTGATACAGTAACCAGAAAGGGCGTCAGGTAACGTAAAGGAGGCAAGGCCGAGGAGGCCATCGACGAGAGTGAAGAATGAAGAGATCGGATGACGAGGACAGATGGAGACAAGAGGCTGCATCATACAAGTAAACACGTGGCGTCAGGCGAAAAAAAACAGTACTTGTTTCCGTCACATCCACTTTTGTTGCCGTGAAATAGACAGTCTACTATGTTGTATATCATTTTAGTGCGTGTGAAGTTTATTCTTTGGGAAATTTACGTCCGGAACGGGTTGCAATGAGTGCCTGGAAAATAGCATGTTATTATACAGGAGGAACGCATCATTAAATTTTTTTATTTTTTTTATAAATTTTGATTTTTTAAACATCAAAAAAAATGATAACTCCCGATATTTTTTATCAAATTTTTTATTCACTTAAAAAAATTCAACATAATGTGGTTTGATGGTCTTAACATCGGACTACTTGATTAACTTACAAAATTCAACAGAATGGGAGCCGATTTTCATAAAAAATTGCAACAGGATGTGGTCTGATGGCTCTAACATCTTAGCGCTTGGTTAACTTTCAAAATTCAATAGAATACGGTCCAATGTTAGAACCATTAGATTATTTGATTTTCATAAAAAAATGTCAACAGAAGGTAGTTTGATGATTCTAACATCGGACCGTTTACTTAACTTACAAAATTCAAGAGAATGTGGTCCGATATTAGAACCATCAGACGGCTTGATTTTCATAAAAAATTGCAACAGAATGTAGTCAAATGGCTCTAACATTGGACTGCTTAGTTAAGTTACAAAATTTGACATAATGCAATTCAATATTAGAACTATCGGACTGCTTGATTTTCATAAAAAATATCAACATAAGGCAGTATGATGGTTCTAATATCAGATCGCTTGCTTAACTTATAAAATTCAACAAAATGCAGTCCGATGTTTAAAGCATCGAATAGGGGAAAACTTGACAAACAATGAAAAATGTCAGGGTTACCAAGCAATCCGAGGTTTAAAAAATTAGACTTGGAAAAATTTGGTAAAAAATATAAAAAAATCAGGGATCCATCATTCCAGATAATAACAGGCTATTTTCGGGCCATTCTGTTATGACGATATTTATCTCTTCCTTATGTTTTAAAAACAAGGCTAACATATCCGAACCAATCAAATCATGCTAATTCATATATATATATATATATATCTTTTTTTAAAAAAAAACTAAGTTTCCAATTTTACCCTTTAAAAACTAAAAAAGACAAGGTTAACTTAAAAAGAAAACTAAAAACTCAACTTAAATCTAAAAACATAAAAATAGTAAAAATATAAAAGCAAAAGAAAAAAACCCAATGCATCGTAAACTACATAAAATTATTCGATGTGCAATGAAATCGACGAGATCATAATTTTAAAAACTATAAAGGATCCAATCTTAAATTGATTTCAGTATTTTTTGAATCAGTAGATGATCCTATGTTTGATAATTATCTTATATTTGCTAATGATCACAATTTTTATAAAGAATAAGAGAGATAGGGGAATTATCCGGAAATATATTCTCCCTCCCAAATCCTTTTAAAGATAAATAATAAATAATACATAATGTTCTTAACAAATATTAACCAAGATAAATAAAATATATGGGGAATTTGTGAGGCCCATCTCCACACACGCACGAACATTTCAAACTTTAAATGAAGGGTTGTTTTGGTCAACTCCTAATCAATTAAGCCAATGTTCAAATCCCTCAGACAAATCTTTTATTACAATATTAACTTAACAAGGGAAATTTACCAAAAATACCTATAAGAGATAATTATTTAATATTTTGTCTAGTTGTAATGATTTGCAAAGATTCCAACCCAATACCATATGTTTTTTATAAACATTATGAAATTAAATTAAAAGATATAGGTAAAAGTTTATATTGTTCTTCTCCCATGGGTAATTTCATAAACTTCCCATTAATAATAAAGGCGTAGTTGTAATGATTTGCAAAGATTCCAACCCAATACCATATGTTTTTTATAAACATTATGAAATTAAATTAAAAGATATAGGTAAAAGTTTATATTGTTCTTCTCCCATGGGTAATTTCATAAACTTCCCATTAATAATAAAGGCGTGTTTGATATTTAATAGGTTGACCTCTAAATTATATTTATAACAAATGTCTAAACCAGTTTAAAAAAACGTCGAGTCGAACCGGACTCACCCGGTTCGACTCGGAAATCACCATGGATGGATCGAATCGGCGAAAAAAACGGGAATCGTCCGGTTCTAGAGAGAACCGGACGATTCTGCACAGTGACTCGCCGATTCACTGTACGGAATCGGCGAGTCCAGTACGGTTTTTTTTTTTTTG